CTCTCTCTCTCTCTCTCTCTCTCTCACACACACACACACACACACACACACACACACACACACAAAGGTAATGATGGTGGTCCGCACACACGCTTGCAGATTTTCTGCTTTTTTTCTCCCTTCTTTTTCATTGGTCCCGATGGACCATCCTGCTCAAGCGTGCGTCTGCTCCCTCCCTCTCCCACCTTCCCGTCCTCTCTCTCTCTCTCTCTCTCTCTCTCTCTCTCTCTCTCTCTCTCTCTCTCTCTCTCACCTCTTGCAGCCTGTCTCTTATACACATCTAGATGTGTATAAGAGACAGGTTCCACTACCGCTCCCACTCACGCTAACTTGCGTGGCCTGGGGAGTGCAAATTTGCACTGGTGCTGCGCGCGGCACTACCAGGGCCTGGGGAGTGCGAATTTGCAGCCACTCCCCTAAAAAACGTTTGTTGCAACCCCAGGGCCTACAGGCCCTGTGTGACACTATCGTGGCCTGGGGAGTGTGAATTTGTGCTGGTGCCGCGCGCGGCACTACAGGGGCCTGGGGAGTTGGAATTCGTGCAGGGCTGGTAGGCCCTGGCCCCGTAGTACTGCGTGCTGCACTACCGGGCCAGGGCCTACTGGCCCAGCTACCGGCCCAGCGATCATCTCGAAAACGATCAACACACAATCTGGACCATGCAGTACCCCGCCAACAACGGTGCAGATCGCGAGTTGATGACACTGAAAACGGTCAGCAGCCATTTCAGATCGGCTGCTGGTCACACGCTATGAAACAGCGATTGTTATAATTGTAGTGATCTGACTGCTCTTCCGGCCATGCCTGGGGTGGCACACGAGTGAAAACGAGAAAACGTCCACCTGCTGGCAGTTGGTCCAGAATAGAGGCTGGTACCAGTGCCAACCAACAAATTTCCCCTAGCGGTTCACCTCCAGTCTTGGCAACACTCGCAGGGTTGCGTTTCTTCAGTAAAACAGGCCCGGGTGTACTGGTGGTTCAATGAAGATCTGGAGACGAGAGATACACAGACCCAAGTCAAAAGAGGAAGTGCTTAGGCAACCACTCTTCAGAAACCCCTGGATAAAAGATCGAGGCAACCACCTTTGGGCACTGACCAACAATGAAAGTAAATGGTACAAAACGGTTAGTTGAAGGAGTTTGGAAAATAACCCATAACTGGGATGAAGAAACAAATTATTTGAAGACACCAGAAAAACTCAGGGAAACACTAAAGGGTCGCTATAATTTAGCAGACAATCTCCAACAGATGATACAAAGTGTACTGGAGGGACGGAAGACTCTCCTCATATAGAAAAGTTTACATGGAAACGAGGAGAGTGGGGAGTCCTTATTCAAGATCTTAAACCTACTAGAGCATACAAATTTCCCCACTGACAGTCAAATGGGTCCCACCGACTGGTATTCACTGCTTTCCCAATGAAGTATCCAAAACAGGAATATGCCAGAAGCGGTAAATAATGAGGTGGGCCCGAACATGTTCCTGCTGAGGAAAATCAGTGTCCTATGGTATAATCCATGGATGACTCTTAAAATGAACACAAGCATCACCAACTGGAATTTGACCCTGCTAATGGGAAATCCAAGCACAGGAAAAAGAAGAGACCCCCCATCCCAATCTACTCATATCCAGTCAAGCTAGGATATTTTGTGCTGCAGAAAACAAAAGACCCAGAACCAACGACAAACCGACGATGGAGAAACACACAGGGGAACGACCCAAACCTGGAAATCGAAGTCCCATGAACGACCATTTCGTCAAAATGGACATTTTTTATTTTTTGAACAAAATTGAAACCGAGTTTTTTGGCCGAAAACTCGTCAAAATTTGCTGTTCCTGAGGGTCCAGCGTTTTACAAACGCTGGACCCCCTGGCTGTACATGCACGTAGTTTGAGACCAGGCACCTCCAGGCAGGACTGCCTGGAGGTACCTGGTCTCAAGCTAGGTCCATGTACAGCCAGGGGGTCCAGCGTTTTACAAACGCCGGACCCTGAGGAACAACAATTTTTGATGAGTTTTGGGCCAAAAAACTCAGTTTCAATTTCGTTCAAAAAATAAAAGACGTCCATTTTGACGAAATGGCAGTCCATGGCAAAAAATGAACAATGGAGAGAGAAATTGGTGAATGATCTGAACCTGGAAATCAGAGTCCCATGGCGAACTTTTAAATTGATCCACCTGGTCAAAGTTAGGAGTTTCGAGTGGATGATTTTATATGTAGCCCTTCCAGCCAACAAATTGCTGCATGTTCCCCGCAGGAAAAGTGATCCAAACAGCTCAGAAATATGCAAGGTATGTCCAGACCAGGAACAGGAAGACATCCTTCACCATCTAACCTACTCTGAGGAAGCAACTGCCTACTGGACTCATGCGAACGACGTATGGGCCTCCCTGTCCTCCTATTCCACCAGTACACGGCCCCAGCCTTGCAGGATTTTTTTTTTCAACGCCTACGAAAATTTTAGAGGCTCAGGGCTACCGGACCACAATGGCTGGCGGCGCTAGCTGAACAAACATAAAAGTGTGCCGCTGGCGGTTCAGCAAAGCTTGGCGCGCAGTGCGGCGCCACCGCGCCTGGGTGTACTAGTGGTTGAACACCCTCTTCAACAACTCCTCTGGACCAACATCCCTTCCAACTTCGCAAAGCCTGAAAGGTTATGGTTCAGTCGAATCAGAGAGGCAACATTGTGGCCGCTGCACAAGGATTACACGCATAAATCAAGCAATGGTCCAAATTGACCAAAAAAAAGATAAAAAACATTGTGGGTTATCTGGAAAGCACGATGCAATATTACCTTGGATGATTCACGCAATAACAGGGCGAGGGTATGGGCATCAACAACAGATTTTATAGAAGCTCTTTTTTATCACTTTTTTTTTCTTATATCCTAGCGTACAACGGAGGGAGACAAAGACACTAATATAGACAAGGCCAGATGAAGAACGTCGCTTCAAATCACGATTTTTTCGCAACTGACTGATAGGGGACATTATTGCTCTAATGGAGGGGGATCACCTACTTTGGAAAGACTGGCACAACTCCAGCATCAGGCAAAGACAACCATCAGACCTCCACTACGAGGAGAATCGGATATGGCTGTAGTCCTTCATTCAGCGATTACGCCGATTAGACTCGAGATGTTTCGACGGTTGAATTGGCTGAGAGAAAGGCGTTGAGATGGCAAAACTGACAGCCAATCCTCCCGGTGTGGAGCTATCAATCTGGTCAGATTGGTCCGTCAGGCTCAGCGGACGGAAGCGTGATTTCTTCTCATTGTATGTACTTTTCGGACTTGCCGGGGGAAAGTAACCGGACTGATGCTTCCCAGAATGGAACGGAACCAGGGCCGGACGGACCTGTTTTGGCAAAAAGAAAGAACAAAAAGAATAGAAAAAGAATGGATTCGTCCGAACAGGAACCTCTCTTCGCATTTGAATTTGTAAAAAGCATCACTGCTGTTGTTCTGAACTTTATCCACATTCACAATCACTGCTCACAGTCAATCTCATTTTTCAACTCTTCTTAGTTGTCCCTGCAGGGTCATAAATAGTCGCTGATGTGGCAGCCCCGAGGGTCAGTACGCTATTGGCAATCTTTCACAGATGATTATTGTTCGTAAAAAGATTTCAGAAAGTCTTCTCCCACGATCGGCAATTTCTGGTGAAATGAGGAAACTTTTGCAGCAGTCGTGACAAAGTATACCTGGACTGGACATGTAGCCAAGCACAGTATACCTGAAGTGGGTGTGTAGCACAGATTAAGCAGCTGGTTTTCTGCACCATGCAAAGACATCGTGGCAGGGCAACTTCAAGGATTTCCAGACTTCCAAGGACCTATTGAGCATGAATTGTATAGGTTTCTGTTACATCTTCGACTCACACGGGTCCTACCGGACCCGACTAGGGCCGGAGGGACACACCAGGGCCTAAAGGCCCGACCTTTGGGGTTACAGGCCCTAAAGGCCTGATTTTGGACTATCACCCATCGGGTAGGCCCAAACGACACTTCGTTTGGGCCTGGCGGCGCTCTTGAAGCTGCCGCCCGCCGATTGAGGCTGAACCGTCCATCTGGACGGTCCAGGGTCTGGCCTGGCCTCGCAGCATTGAGGCCAGACCATTGCCCACCGGTACAAGTACCGGTATCCGCCTCAGTAGGGGCATCGGCCTACCGGAACTCTACCGGCACGGCATGGTCAGTGCTGGTGCACTGTTTTGATGCGCTAAACTTAGCGCAGGGGCTGAAGCAGGAGCGCAGCATAGCGCAGCCTGAGCTTGCACGGCGGTTATCACCGCCTGAGGTATCGGGAGCTTGGAGGGTCTCTCCTCCTCTCCCTCGCCAGTCCCCTCTCTCTCTCTCTCCTCTTCCTCCTTCTTCTTCTTCTTCTTCTTCTTCTTCAGATTGGAGACTATCCAGTTGGACAGAGATCAGAGTTGGATTTCGGTGATACGAGACTGTGGTACTTACCTGATTGGAGACTTGGAGATGGTTGAGGTTGATACTCAGCTGCATCACAGTTGGACACCGGTTACATCTGGACTCTGTTATCTCCGACATTGGTGACCTTTGGTCCTCGACATTCTGATCTTGTTATACGACATTCTGGACTACCATTTCGGAGACCTATCAGACTCTATCTTTGTGACCTATCGGTGTGATCTACCTCCTACCTCCTTCGTCTCTCCTCCCACCTTTCATCTGTGTATGTGTGTACAGGATCTGGGTATCGTCTATGAATGACCCAGACCCCACCATCTCATGATTGTATGTGTGTGGAGTGATGCCATGTAGGTCAGTCTATGTGAGTCAGTTCGTTTATCAGAGTTCCGCTGCATACATGCTCATCCTATATTGGTTGATTTTTGGTTCTGCCCATACTCATCGAAGTATGCAACATTCCCTCTGCAAGCGGGTAACGTGGCTTACCGGAAGACATAGGAACATTGCTTACCTGAAGGCTCACGAACGTGGCCATGAGGATTGGAGGGATTCCTTTAAATGACCCCTTGAAGCATCCCAGTCCCATTTTTCTGATCTCACTCTGAACGCGCTCGTGAGCGTGCGCAATCTCCTGTGTAAACATGGGCGACAACAGATATTGCCTGGAGAGAGAACAATTCAGATGGAAAATATTTATTATGACAAAGTTCAAAAAATGATTCAACGACTAGTTCAAAATATGATTCAACATGCTCAATGAGACTAAGAATATGTTTCCAACTTTCAAGCTTCCACCCATAACTCTGAACTCTGAGCCCGCAGTTTCCTCGGGCTGGTCAGCTGGCTGATAACATGTCAAAGCCATCGCTCTTTTAAACGGTCAGTTCTCTGGCCGTGTCATTGAACCTATGTGCAGCTGGCCGCCACAATGCAGTGTGTGAAGTACCCTCGACGTAGTCACTCTGAGGTGGTACATTGTCAGAGTCTCTCACAATAAGCTGTGGACCATCTTCCAGCCATAACTTAGTATTGAGCAGCTCGAATTTGACCCAGAATTCGACCCAAAATAGTGCACATGGGAACAGGGCACCACCAGGAAGTCGAGAATCGTTAACAGAATATGATGTAAAGTTGGGTATGACCTCGGACTGCAGACCACAAATCCGAACCCCAGGCTGTTGGAGAAATGGGGTGGAACATGCTGCACTTAGACCCCTCGACCCCCCTCACCATCCCATGGACCAAATATCTCCTCATCAGACCGGTCTCGACCCCCCTCACCATCCCATGGACCAAATATCTCCTCAGAAGCTGTAGCATGCAGTGGCGCATAGCACACACAGCCCTCCCTGTCAATCAATGGTTACACGAGAGAAGGAAACACTCAGACCCAGACAGCTGAGAACTCTGCGCACTGTGCAATAACAACGCACCCGAAGACATCCCTCATGGCCTTCTTTTCTGTCCGGAAGCGACCTGGATCTGGAACAAGGTCCGATCCTCTTCTCAACACCACCTCCCAACATCCCCCTTCTAACTATCCTACTCCTCGCTAACACCCCCAGGAACATCAAGGGCAGCAGGGAAGTTTGGTTCAATCTACTCAGAAAATTGGCACTCTAGGTCATATGGAACGCAGATGCTCACGGACAATCGAAGGACCAGAGATGGCACGGGAAGAAATGTGGACTCATCTGCTGAGTATGGCGGGGACTGAAATCCGGAGCAGATGGCGGAAAATAGTGGCTTGTACTGGCTTCTATGAAACACGGGGACCAGAAAGACAAGCAAGCAAAAGACACACATTTCTGAGAGACTGGATACTAAGAGGCAAGGTCGCCACCTAACAGATAACAGACTGAAATGGAAGAAGTGGTACCAGACCCAACCGTAAGACAATGATAAGCGTGGAACTCCAGGAAGAGGGAACAGTACGACGAGCAACAGCAGGGCCAGTCAGACGAGCTGGGAAGGAGAAAGACTCAGAAACACAGTTGGCAGCAGATCCTCTCACTTTTTCTTGCTCTGCATAGGACTATCTGACAGGCCATGGGGGAGAGCCTGATAGGAACAGGTGGATAGGGCAAGCTGACAGTCAATTGTCCTACGTGGGAGTAATCAATGCTGGTCAGGCATCCTTCGGCCATACAGAAGGAAGCATGATTACTCGAGACCCAAACAGAAAAGAAAGATGAAAAGAAGTTAAAGAACCGATGCAAGGACAAATAGAACAGCTTGAAAATCTGGAATCTTTCTTGGAAGAAGCGGGCGGATCCAATTACTCACACATGCTGTCACACAGTACGGTTGGAAATTTGGAATCTTGATTTCCGATGAAGTGGCTTAAACCACCAGTACTTGGCCCCGCTTGAAAAACAATGGCACAACAGTTAACAACTTTACACGGAACTGCAGGCGCACCGCTAAATCGCTGGCGGCGGTGGCCAGGTACATCCGTGTCGATTCGTTTTTTTGTGGCGCGCAGGGCAATTTCGGGCCCGCCGCCGATGTATGACCCAAGTACTGGCGGTTTAATTGAACAGACCACATGTGGTAAGGTTGGAAACTTGGCATAAAAAAAAAAAAAAAAAAAAAAAAAAAACTTGGGATCCCTGTTTTTTTTTTCTTTTTTCGAGGAAGATGCTTAACTAAACAAACCACGGATGGTAATGATTGACATTTGGGAATCGGGATCCCTTTTTTTTCAGATGAAGCAGCTAGGCGCGTTCAGTCAGGAAAGAGACAGCGTTTTCCTGCAAGGAAAATGAGCGAGAGCGATAGACAGAAAACCAAATTGCAATATCGCACTGAAGACCAGATAGTCGTGTACCAAGCAGAAAGCACAATGCACCGAGATGCAAGCCAAATAAGAGCAATACAATGAACTCAAATGTCAATGTCGACACTCTCTCGCCACACCAACATAGTATCCAATGTCGCCCTTCTCAACATAGTATCTATCCAATGTCGTCCTTCTAGATTGGCGCTCAGCGCCCAGCCTATCCTACTCAGCACGTAGACTAGCCTACAGGTACGACATGCAACAGGATCACTTCAAGCTGAAGACCAATGTATGTGACGACATCGCCAATGCAGACTGCCAGCGTACACCAGGTGTGTGTCTCTTCTCCCTCTCTGCCTCACCACCTTCTCCCCCATAGTGTGTACCCTCCTCCCGAAGACCACCATCGCCCACACCAGCCTGCGCCAAAACAGCCCGGCTATGGCTGCCGTGCACCAGCTGCCACCGCAGCACCCCTCTCACCCCAAGCACCCACATGCACCTCTGGCCAGCGCCCAGGCAGCCTTCTGCGGCCAAAGCAGCAGCGTGGCCGCCTGGATGTGCAAAGCCAGAATGTGCCTCTGCTGGGCGAGGCACTTTCCTATATGGAAAGTGCAGCCCAGCTCCTGGGCTGCCTGGGCCTGGAGTGCGTGTGCCCAGTAGCTTCACGATGAGCCAAAGTGTCTGCGCCCAGGCCCATTCAGACAGTTGTCGGGGCCCGCAGCAGTTAAGCTGCCCAGCTGTGCGATGTGGCTGCTGTCACTCGCTGGATTCTCATCTCATTGGCCTACGGACCTCCAGTCACGTGGATGCCTCGCTTGTCATTGGCCGAGAGCCTCTGGCCGTGTGTGGCGTCCGGCTGCATGAAATGACAAAAATAAGGCCTCATTCCGAAATGCAGGCCCGCCTTCACTTAGGGTGGGCACGAGTCTTGCTGGGGCCCAAAGGGGCCATCAGGTCAGTCGGGCGTCAGGCCGAAAGGCCTTTGCAAGGGCACAATCCTCGCACAGCCTAAACCACCGGTCCCTTTCCCAGCTATGTTGTTCTGACACAACAGTTAATATGCCGTGTTAACAGGGCCTACGCCGACCAGAAGGAAAAGTCCCCTGGCACCAGGCAACAACAAAATATTTTGTGCTCGCACCTGCAGGTTAATCGTCTTGCATGCAGAAGACACCCGGGTCGGTAAAAAGAGACTCGGAGGGACTGGAGTAAAACGTGTGATATGGTTGAAACTTTGGATTTTCTTTTTTCTCCATGAAGCAGCTTAATCGAACAAACCACACGCAATATGGTTGGAAATATTATATATGGAATCTTACTTGCTTCCAGGGAAAATCTCAGTGTAAGGTACATATGCACTTCTTTCTTGCGCTCTCAGTTCTCTGTGATAACGCTCCGGGTGCACTGCCAAGAGGTATGTCACCTGCTCACCAAAAAAATGTTTATTCACAATTCATCGAATCAGCCAGCAGAGATATTGCCAACTTCTTTCATGACACCAACAGTATGCGATACTTGCTTTACTTATGCCTTTGCTAGCTAGTTTCAGAGATCCAAACTGGTGGGAATAGCATTTGCTACCGACTGTCCTGTAGCACAGTCAATAATGTCACAATAGCCACATCTTTTTATTTTCTATTTTTTATTATTATAATAAAAACAGAACCTTATGGTTCTGGCTCCTTTTCCATTCGGGGGAGCATCAGTCCGGTTCCTATTCCACCAGCGAGCCCCAAAAGAAATACATACAGGACTCGCACACACTCTTCCCCTTTTAAGGTAGGAAAGTCCGAGGGGCGGCATTGATTACTTCTTGTCAGGACTCAGAAGGATGTACCACCCCTTACCCCTGCCTACGTTAGCCTGATTACTTTTATTTCGACTCTAAGTCATGGAAACGAAACCAGTAATATGGACCCTGTAGTTTTGCTTAAGGGAGGCCACAACTAACTTGTTCCTAACAGTTCTGAGACTGTCAGATTCTCATTGAATACGAGAACTGTAGATGTGATCCTCCTCATTAGGACTTGATAAACCCTAAACCCTTTCAGGTCTAGTTGCTAATGCCTATGGATGAGATTAACTTCTATCCTCCCTTCATTGTCTTTCCTTATCTATAAAATGATTAAAATCTACCTGGTACTAAAACCTAAACCCTGGCTAATTTAGCTGGCCTGCTCACCTTTACTTGAAATCACTTCTTATGGTCTGTATCTCGTAACCTAAGTTATCCTCGCGTTAACTGGATAGAAGAGTCTTTTGGGGGAACTCTTTATGGGGTGGGACTGGAACTGTTTTTGCTGGCTTGAGAAAAGACTGTGGGGTGTTTGTAGGTCTAGGTTGTGGGGTTGGATGGTTGATGAGATCGGGTCTCGTGGCTGGGGGGTCTCGGTTGGGATCAGGGTGGTTTGTGTGGAGGTAATGGGGCTAGTAGCGTGGAGGAGGGGAGAGAAGGGTATGAGTGGGTTTTGGGGGGGGTAGGGCTGTGCGATTCCTTATATTGGAGATGAGGTCTGTGTGGGTTTACTGTTTGGCGTGCAGTCTGTTAGTAAAGGCCTGTATTGTGTTGTCGTAGGAGGCGAAGTTGTTGTGGGGGGGATGTTTGGTCTAGATAGGGGCGAGGGGAATTCGATTGTGCTTGTTGTCGGCCTTTGGTATGGATACCTGTGGTAGTTTAGATGAAATTGATCCGGATGCTCAATGAGTCTGGTGTGCTTATCATTGGTCTTGAGTCTGGACTAGTGTTCTGTGCTGTGTCGTTCCACATTGTGAAGATTAGGCTCTGACCTTTGACGATTGCTATCTTACCCTTGGCGAGGAAGGCGTCCTAAAATTTGGTGTGGAGGTCTTAGGCTTTGGGTTCGTTCGCTTTCATTTTCCTGTTGACTTTGCGCCATAGGACCACAATAGCCACATCTTTTTCCGGGAGATTCAAGTGGAAATAACAACAGCTACCAGTAGTCCTAAAGGACAATCAGAAATGTCACAAGGCCTCCACCTTATGCACCCGGATTCGAATCAATTATAGATCAAATTTGGAGAGAAGTTAAGAGAACCAAGAACAACAAAAAATAAAAGAAATAACTATTGCAAGGTGCGGTGTGGAGTTCGAAATTCGCAGGAATACCAGTACACTGCAAGTTCCGGCCGAGAGCAGTTCCAAACTGCAAAAAAACAGGTACCTTTGCATGGCGGGCATGCAAAAAATAAATAAATATATTTTGGGTTTTCTGCACTCTCTGAGAGGACCCCAAATCCGAGCTCTTTTCTTTTTTTGAGTGTTGGCTGTCAAAGGGAGGAAAAGGGGGTATAAAATGGTTTAAAAGGGGCTAAAGGGGTTCCGTTATTTTCTTTTCTATCTCCCATTCTGTGAGAAAGTCTGATGGGATCCTCAGCCGAAAGTCGTTTCCATTGCAATTCTGCACAGCATCTTTTTTTTCCGGAATCCCTTTTTATTTTTTTATTTTTCTTTCTGCGCTGGGGCCACCCGGAACCCTGCCCGGGGCCTGGGCACCCGGGCGGCGTGCATCCGGGCACAAGTTGGGCTCCCACCCAGGAGAACAGCTTAGCTAATTTCTGGAAAAAAAAACATGGCAGAGAAGAACGAACTTCCAAACAGGAGTAACTCGATTCATAAGACAGATGAAAAATTGCCATTTTGGAGACAGGAGGAGATACCCCACTACTAATCAATCAATCAATCAATCAATCAAGTCATCTTGATGATGAATCGATCCACGGACTGATCAGCGGTCCGGGCACAAGTTGGGCACCCGGACGCCCAGGAGAACAGCCTAGCTAAGTTCTGGAAAAAAAAAAAACATTGCCAAGAAGAACGAACTTCCAAACAGGAGTAACTCGATTCATTAGACAGACGAAAAGTTGCCACATTGGAGATGAGAGGAGATTGCCCACTAATAATCAATCAATCAACTAGGGGACCTGTTGCGGCTATGCCCGCAATAAAGAAGGAATGTTTGCCAAGAAAAACAAAGAAGTTGGACTCTCTCTCTCTCTCTCTCTCTCTCTCTCTCTCTCTCTCTCTCTCTCTCTGTGGGACCTGTTGCAGCTACGC